TCTGGTGAGATCTGATGCGGTATCTCTATCCTCAGCACACTTCTATGTCCTGTCTATGCGATCTTCCTCGTCTCCAGGCATAGTCATAGAGAGAGACCAGTTAGAAATTTTACTAATCATTTGTTAAGTTCATTGCTGACCTCTCTCTCGTTGATGAGTCACCACTGAGCCTGCAAATGCCCTGTCTCTCTGTGAGATTCTGATCAGATGTCTGGATGCTGAGCCTCCCGCTTTTAGCTTAGAAGAGACACTGCCATCATTGTTAGCACCACTATCATCACAGTCAGCACTGTCACCCAATAAAAACACCGGAACACCTGTTCTGAAATACCCATGACTGAGCAGGATTGATTAAAGTATGACAAGGAGAGGCTGTCCAAGGCAGTGTGGTGCGCTGTTAAGGAACTGGATGAGCATTGCTTTGAAGCACTGAAATAGAAAGTCACCAGGAAGCCGGGCGGTGGTGGCACACGCCTTTAATCCCAGCACTCAGGAGCCAGAGGCAGGCGAATTGCTGTGAGTTTGAGGCCAGCCTGGTCTATAAGAGCTAGTTTCAGGACAGGCTCAAAAAAAAGGAGAGAGAGAGAGAGAGGATGGAAGAAGGAAGGAAGGAAGGAAGGAAGGAAAGAAGGAAGGAAGGAAGGAAGAGGAGTACTACAGAGAAACCCTGTCTCAGTTAAAAAAAAAATACCAGGAAAATAAAATGCCTCTTAAACCTTTTTTTAACTGTTTAGCATTAATGTTTCATTTTGTTTTTTAATTATTCTGAAAGGGTTATAATACTTGAGTACTGATAACACATGCTGCCAAGCACAGGTGGGTATTGTTCTATTCGCATTTAATTTAGCTTTCATAGCAATCATAACACAAAGGTGTAGCTGTTTTTTTCCAAAGGAGAAAGCAGAGGCACAGAAAGGTCAGTTGAACTCGGGTGGATTAAACTTTTTGTTGTTGTTTTTGTCTATGCAGGTCAATTTCTTCAAATTCTTCAGCTGAAAAGAAACCTTGTTTTTGGTTTTCACAAAATCCAACATCTTAATGAGCATGCGTTTCTTCTGCTCTTTCGGTCTAAGGAAGTCACAAAGAAAGTAGCTGTTGTGGCTGGGAAGATGGCTTAGACCTGAGTTTCATCTCCAGCACCTATGTAAGAAGCCGGGTGTGGTGGGTGCTTGAAATGCAAACTCTGGGGATGCAAAGGAGAAGGATCACTGGCCGGCTTGCCCAGGCCCCAAAGAGACTCAAAAATAACATAACAAAACACAAAGAAAACAACTGTTGACATCAGAAATTCCATCCTTTCCTGTATTTTAAATCTGTAATCGCTTTCACAAAGCATAGACCCAATAACCACAGTGCCTGAAGAATCTCCATGCTCCCTCTCATTCCTTGCCAGTTGATAAGTCCTGTTTGGACACACAACCAAGCAACATCAGGACCATGCTTGGGTGAGAGAGCAGAACTGTTCTCCACTAAGCAGCTACAGGGCATTTGAACAGAATCAGTGGCTGCTCTGCCCAGGCTTCGTTGTCTGTTTTAAAGTTCATCATTCACAATCACACAGCTTCGCCAGCTGTGGCTGCTGAGGGCATTCAGCCTCCCCTTTGTTTCCAATATGCTCGAGTTACCCATGTGCTGCCAGCTTCTGTTTTCTGTCCCTCTTGATGTAAATGCCTAAAATATCAAGCCCTGTTGGAACAAATGTACAAAGGTACAGGTCTATGAGACTAGCCATTTGTGCTAGTACTTCGGAGTCTGCGTGGCTATACTTAGCTGGTTCAATTTGGTAACAATAGTTTCAGTTTCTTTTTACTGTATATATCAGAACAGTTTTCTATTATTGAATATGATATTCAAACTTTTGACTCTGCAAGCTTAGAAAATATTTCAGAAATAAATTCTCCTATATGTGAGAGACAGATCATCCAACTGATCTAAGTAACCTGCCTGCATTCCTTGGAGGCAGGAATGGGAATCTCAGTAGAGGATTCAGTTTGATTCTGAGAATTCGCTCTCAACAGTTAAAATTCAGAGTGTCCCTGAAGACTGGGGACATAGACAAATAGGTGGAATGTCTTCTGGGGCATCTCAATCTGCTAAAAGTGAAATAAGGTTATCTGTCTCCTGTCCTCCACGGTGCCTTTCCTCACCCATCCTGCCACAGATTCCTGTTCTCCCAGCAGCAGAGAGCAAAGTGAAACTGGAGCCGTGCAATCCTGACTGCCCCTTGCTGTACTGAAAACTACGGGCCACAAGCGGACTGTTCTTCCCAGTTCACAGCAATCCGTGTGCTTTGGCCCCTACAGCCCCGTTTCTGAGACTGTGTTCCAGGAAAACGTGCTGAGTGACAAGACAAATGTTCCTCCTAATTCTCTTCCTAATTTGGGGCAGACTTGCAGGGATAGGGTAAGGAAGTGCAGGACAAAATGCTCACAGCACCCAGGGAATGCATTCATTAGAATGCTAAGGAGAGAAAAAATACAGAATTTAACCAACATGATTCCAACTGTTGGAGCTGCTTTCCTATCACATCCCAATCCCTAACTGAGTGGGAACAGGTCTAGCATTGAGGATGTCTGGAAAACGGTGAGCTAACTTGGAAGAGGTTGTTCAGGGATTCACACACTCAGACAGCTGTGACTCTTCCAGAACAAGGGAGGTGCTCAGTGGTGCCCATACTGGGCTGTCGCCAAGTCTGCTGCCAGCGGGAGGAAAGGAATTGGCAGAGTACAGCATCCGTAAACCAAGCCAGCAGGCAGCCACCTGAGAATGGTTCCCTCTTTTTATGAAAAAGAAGAGCCTAGAGGAGCTATAATTAAATACCAAGTGATTATTTGGGGTATAATGGCTTTGCAATGGGCTCTGTGAAGCCAGGGCACTGGCATTGACGTGCTAGTTAGAGGGACAACAAATGTCCAGAGATGAGTGGATTACAAGATGCCTCAACAAAATGTAGCATCAGTGGTTGAACTGAACACTGTTACCCACCTATGTGACTCCACTCTTGAGATTCTCACCTCTAATAAATGAAAGATAAATGCAGCCAATGATGGACACAGAAAAATACTAAATGCCGTATTGTATTTTGGGACTATTTGTACGGCAAAGAATACAGTGTTGAAGAGGAGTGTGTATTGATTCAAAGTTAAGTTTTCAAATTATTCGCAATGCAGGATTATATGAATACATAGAAGTACTTATATAATATATGCCCACTTGTAAATGTATATGCATATACATATATAAATACAGATAGAAGGATGAATATATCAAAATGTAAGTGTGCTCACTCTCTGAGGCAGCATGGTTAAGAAACGGTTTCTTCCATATTTTGGAAGGGAAAAGACTTTAACAACTCATCAGTGACACGGATGCTTCCAGAGTGTTCTGGGGGTGCAAATCTTACTCTGTCTTCAGCTCTCTGTACCAAGAACAAGCAGCCTGCAGCATTAGTCACTGTGATAATGCCACCAAAGAGAAGGGTAGGAGGCAGAGTGTGTCTCGACATGAATGCACACCGCAGGCAAATGAGACAAAATCTGCCCGATGCTTTTTGTGAAAGACAGGAAGAAAAGAAACAGTCTTTTGCTTTTTTCTTCTAAGATGGGAGATATTTTTGTAGTCACTTTTTCAAAGTTCTACCAGTGAGGGGGGAGGAACATGGCAGAGCCCAGCACGGGACAGGCTGAAGGCAGTGTTCATCTCACAGTTGTCTTTGGCAGGGTGAAGTCCTATATCTCAACCCAGTTCTCTAGTCCCACAATCATTTACCACCCAACAACCTTGAGTTCTCCTGCGTCCCTTGTCAAGGGAATGTTCTTGACAGGGAGTGTGCATGAGCCTGGACTGCAGAATTCAGTGAATGCTGCTGGTGAGACTTAGACAAGGAAATGGTTGCAGGCTGCCCCCGTGCTAGGTGTTGGGGACCATTTTCCTGGGTGATTGGCCAAAAAGTAAAGACAAAACCTTGCTTTCCCAGTTCATCTGGAAAGCACTCAACTCCTTAAAAGCAAAAACAAAAACAAAAAAACAAAAAACAACAACAACAAAAACCACATGCACAGAATATTTTGACTCTGCCTAGGAGGCTCAGATACACAGAAATGTGTATTCCCATGTGTCCTTTGGAAACTGTTCCCCAAGTCTGAAGGTCCAGCTGCATGAACCGTTTCTAGAAAATTCTCCCCATTGCATACACCTTGCTCATACCCCTGTAAGGAAGCTGCTCTTGCCTCATCCCACCAGTCACTGGCATTGGTCCCATTCTCTCTGAGCATCTCTCACAGTGTGCCCACCTCTAGATAAACAGTTGTCATTCAAGACCTGGGACCCACCAAGGATAGGGAACATATGCTCCTTGTCTCCATTCACCACAACATCTGACCAACAGTAAGGAGAGGTAATGAAGCAAAAGTAAAGCATCCATCACTGGGGTGCTCTCGGTGTGAGAGACTGAAATGTCACTGCTTTGAGGTGAGGAGAAATGAGAGAACAGAAGGGAGCCGCACCCCACACAGCTGCACTGACAACTTCACCCTACACCTACACAGCTCCGCTGACAGCCATACCCTACACAGCTGTGCTGACAGTCACACCCACAGCCACATCCTACACAGCTGTGCTGATACCCACACCCTACACAACTGTGCTGTCCGCTGCATCCTACACAGCTGCATTGACAACTGCACCCCACACAGCTGCGCTGACAGCCGCACCCCACACAACTGCATTGACAACTTCACCCTACACCTACACAGCTGCACTGACAGCCGCACCCTACACAGCTGTGCTGTCTGCTGCACCCTACACAGCTGCATTGACAACTGCACCCCACACAGCTGCACTGACAGCTGCACCCTACACAGCTGTGCTGACAGTCACTGTCTACATGATTGTGCTGACAGCTGCACCCTACACTGTTGTGCTGACAACTGTTCAGAAGGCTGCACACAAGGAGTTTCCTGACTGACAGCTCTGCCCAGCTTGCAGCCCAGTTCTCTGCCTCAGTTGTTCTCTGTGTCATCTATGAGGTCTCCCTGCCCAGAGGAAAGTATCACAGATGTCTCTTTAAGACCAAAGCAAGACCCTGTGTCATCCAGCCTAGCCCAATAGATCCTATCCCTTTGAGGGATCATTTCTAATGTTGCCTATTACCAGAAGCCTCTCCTTGTTGCCCAGGGTGATGAAAAATCCTTCCTTTTGTGGGTTAAACCCTTGCCAATACCTCCTTGTAACTTTAATCCCTTCTGGTCACTAGATGTGGCTGCAGAGAGAACCACTGACTACACTTCCTGGGCCCTGACACCTCTTTCGGGATCCCAAAGGCCTCACCTCTAAGAACTTCAGCTCAGCATCTTCTCCCCAAGGTGCAGAACTGAGCCGGTGCATCTCAGAGATTTCTACTTGGGCCCGGATTGCTGTCATCCGCTCAATTAGCCTTGCTGGGATGTAATCTTGAATTCGGAAATATGCTTTATTCTCTACCTGCGAGGAACAACATGCCGAGAAAAGAATTTATCCAGGAAGTGTTCCAGCCAGTTCTGAATAGAAATGTGTGTGGAACCATACTCCCAATGGGGCCCAGGACAAGGGTATTCCCTTGAGGTGCCTCTGGGACATAGTTCTGTATTAGAAGTGGAGCCAAACAACAAGCAAGTCTCAGATACGACATCATTCCTCTATAGGATCATGTCTGAGGAGACCGGATCCCTTCTCCCCACCAAGACCTCAACCTTCAGTCAGTCTGCTAATTAGAAAGCTGAGGTCGCAGCCCCTTGGGAGAGGCTGGAAGGTCAGTGCCGTCTAGTATTGGGTTCCCTCCACACAGGTTTGGGGACAAACACAGTATGGTGGAACTCATGAAGGTACAAACTCCAGGTCCCCTGCAACAAATGAGGAAGGCAGGATGGTGTGGGGGAGGGGACAGGATGATGAGGGGGGAGCTTAGCCTACATCTGTATTTGATTCAATCTTTCCTGTTCTTGAGGTGCCCCTGCCAGTCTTCTACCCTGTTGTGGAACAATCTTTCTTAGACTGTAAATATGAGTGTCTGCCTAAGGCGCCTTCTGATTGGTTTATAAAAAGCCGAACAGCCAATAGCTAGGCAGGAGAGGATAGGCAGGACTTCCGGGCAGAGAGAGAAACTGAGAGGCGAAATCTAGGCAGGTGGATTTTACCAGAAGACTAAGGGCAAGTCAGATTTGCAGTACTGAGGAAAGATAAAGAACCACATGGCAGAACTTAGATTTAAAAATATGGGTAAATTAAGCTATAAGAGCTAGTTGAAAACAAACCTAAGCTAAAGGCCATAATTAATAATAAGTCTCTGTGCCTTTATTTGTGGCTGGTGGTTCCAATGAGAAAGTACTACTACGCTACCCCTGGACAAATCATTGTCCCCAGCGCTGATGGCAGTTATCCTGAAGAAGCCAGCTGAGGGCTGGGTGAATATGACCTTTATTCAGAGGGTAGGTGAGTCAGTCCGCTGGGGTTCAGAAGGGCATACACCACTATACCCCACATTCATGCTGTGGCACGGGCCTATCTAAGTGTCACCATAGATTGAGAACCCCAAAATTCTCCAGGTGACCCAGGCTGAGTCAGGGTTCAGATCAGAGGCACAAAGTAAAAGAAACATCTCAGCAATCTAGTGCATTAAAAAATGTTAGATTAGCCAAAATTCAGAATACTGACAATAATACCAAGCACTGTTTGAAACAGAAGCAACAGGAATTCATGTTCATTGTAAGTGGAAGTGGAAAATGATGCAATCACTTTGGAAAACAGCCAACTTCTTACAAAATTAAACAGACTCTCAGGACCTGGCAGTCAACCCACAAAGACTTGAAGACCTGTATCCACAAGAAAGCCTACCGTGGAGCCAAGAATGTAGCTCAGGGGAAGAGTGCCTGCCTAGCATGGAGAAGGCCCTGGGTTAGTTGCACTGAAAACAAATAAATAACTGCACATGGTTGTTAACAGCAGCTTTATTCATAATTGCCGAACTTTGGGAGCAAAAGCTACCCAGGGAGTGAGTGAAGACACAATGGCCCATCTGGGCAAGGGCTTACTAGTCAGCACCCAAAACTAAATGAGCTGCCAAAGAAAAGACGTGAAGGTGCTTAAATGTATGTTACTGAGTGACTTTAAACCTATATGAAAGGTTGTATAATGTCTCCAAATATGAGATCCTCTGCTGCAGATATGGTAAAGTGATGAGTGGCTGCCAGGGGACAGACAGGCACAGCATCAAGACAGGGAGCGTTGCTGATTTGTAGAGCATTGAGACTACTCTGTATGACAATATAATAGTGATTCGTGCCATTATATGTTTGTCAAAACTCATAAACTAAATGACACCAGGAGAGAGCCCCCATGTTGACCAAGCACTCTGGTGATGACAGCCTGCCAGAATCGGTTCATCAACTGTAACAAATGTGCCTTCTGGTACAAGATTAGATTGTTCACTAGGGGAGACTGCAAGGTTAGATTTGGCACAGCAAATCTCGCTACCTTCCTACCTGCCATTCAGCTTCGCTGTAAACCTGGCCGTTCTGTTGTGGTTTGGATCTTAAGTCCCCCAAGGGTTCATATGCTAAGGGCTGTCACAAGCAAGTGGCACCATTTGGAGAACCCTTCGGCAATGGAACCCAGTGGAAAGGAAGGAGATCCTTGAAGTTTTACCTTAAGTTTGCTGTTGGGACCCAAGCCACTTTCCCTCTTTCTGCAGTTTTGCTTTCCAAATACCATGACCTACCACGAGTTTTGCTCTTTTCTACCCCTGATGTTTGTTTGTTGCCTCAACCCGCCATACCTAAAGTGGAGGAGCCTGCAAACGTGGGCCGAAACCCGGGAAAGCCATATAAAGCTTTCCTCCTTTACGTGGATTATCTCGGATGTTCTGTCACAGTGACAGAAAGCTGACCAACGGGTGTCACAAAAAAAATAAAGTTTATTGAAACATTTAGGGAGGGAAAAGGGCACATAGGGTCTTCATCCCAGCATTTCTTGCTAAGAACATACCTAAGAGAAGAAATCAACATGGACCTAGAAAGTCCTAGGCACAAGTGCTTTATATACATGGCATTTATAATAGGGATGCTCAGGTGCAGCTAGTGTGACAATCATCACAGTTATCACTTATGTGGCACTCTCAGGGAAATGCCAACAGAGGGCATGGGATGCGTGAAAGAAGTCCCAGCCCATGGAACCATAACATGCAAGCACTCCGGCTCCGCAGCAGCCTCAGGAAGGCCACACACATGACGAGAGAGAGCGCAGATGGAGTGCAGCAATGTCTATGGCTGTATAAAATCCCGGCATGTGATCTGCTGGAAGAGTGTGTGCCCATGGAATGCTGGTTTGCTGTGATGGTGTGATTAAGGAGATTTATTTTTATACTAAATTGCCTTTGTCTCCCTCTTTAAAATGCAAATGTAATCATGTTACTTCCTCGCTTAGAATTCTGTAGGGGCTCCCATCTTTCACAGCAACGGTTTCCAGTTCTTTCCCCACCACCAGAAGCTCTTTTCAAGCAAAGCATAAGCCTCCTAGCAAGACATACTAGATCCTCCCAAGTGTGACAGGTACCACCTAGCCGGCCTCGTCACCTCATGGGAAGCCTGAAGCCTCTTCCTCCTGCCCACTGATGACAGAGAGGAGCTGCTGTTGCAGTAGAATGTTCAATGTCCCCTGAAGGCCATGTGATTTCAGAGCACTGGATACTATTAGAAGGAAACAGGATATCAAAGAGGTAGTTATGTGAGAGAAATTGAGTCACCAAGGCACCCCCTGAGATACTGGGACCTCAATCTCCTCTCCTGTCCCTCCTGCTTGCCTTGAGGTGAACAGCCTTCACCTTCCCTTCTATCATGATTTCTGGGTCCGCACATCTCAGGGTGACAGAGCCAAACACCATGGATTCGAACCTCTGAAACGGTGAGCCAAGCAGATCTTTCCTCTCATACATTGATGACTGCGGGTACTCTGTTACAGCAATGGAAATCTAGTTCACTCCCCTAATGCTGTCTGAAGTACCCAGCACAGAAAATCAAGCACAGCTCTGGAGTCTCGATGTGTCAGCCCAGGCTGACTGATTGTAACAAATATAGCAGGATGGTTACATTGGTTTTTTTGTGGGAAGGGGGACTATAAATAGGGAGCAAGAAATCTCTGTATCTCCTCCCACTTAATCTTACTATAAAGCTAAAACTGCCCTGAAAAATAAAGTTTATTGACATCTTTTTATTGAAGATAGGTATTTTTATACAACATATTCTGATTACTGTTTTCCCTCTCCCAACTCACCCCAGATCTCCCCTACTATCTCACCTACCCAAATCCACACCTTTACAGATTGTCTATCTAGAATAGATAGAATCTAGAATATGTGATGTTAACTTTGCAATGTTTGTGTGAGTTAGATGTTGAGGTCAATGGCAGATAAGGTGCTCTCTCTTTCTCTTTCTCTCTCTCTCTCTCTCTCTCTCTCTCTCTCTCTCTCTCTCTCTCTGTGTGTGTGTGTGTGTGTGTGTGTGTGTGTGTGTGTGTGTGTTTGGTTTTTTGAGACAGAGTTTCTTTGTGCAACCTTAGTTTTCCTGAAACTCCCTCTGTAGACCAGGCTGGCTTTTAAATGACAGAGATCCACCTGCCTCTGCCCCCCGAGTGCTGGGATTAATGGTGTGTACCACTACTGCCCAGCAGTCTCTTAATAAAGATTAGCTATTAATATTGGTGATAGTGGTGATAAAAACTCAGCAAGTGTATACATTACTCTGGTTTGGCTCTGGTTTGAGTGATCCCTGAAGGATACAGTGTGGCTAGTCTTGATCTCAAGCATAGTGTTATGGGAAATGGCGGGGCTTTCACAAGCATGGTGCTATGGGAAATAGCCGTGCTTTGGTGGACAAGGAACTGATGGGAGCCTTAACCATCGGAGGCTTTTCCTTCAGAAAGGACCATGGGATCTCAGTCTCTCTCCCTCTGAATTCCTATTTATCATCATGGAGTCCCCCCAGCATGTGTTCCCACTATGAGGTACTGCTACCCAGAACCGATGGGGTGGCCCAATTTTGGACTTTGAGCTTCTAAACCTACAACCTTTCTCTTTGTAAGTTAACTGTTTGGGGTATTTCATTATGGTAGCACGGACTGACTGCTATAAAGATAGATATAACTACATTACAGTGTATTAAGTTGGTATGTTTACCCTTATATAGCACAGAACACAGGAAAAGTGTTCAATGAATGCTTATTTGATAAATGAATGGGTGAGTGGATGGGTGGATAGATGGATGGATGGATGGATGGATGGATGGATGGATGGATGGATGGATGGATATATGGATGGATGGATGGATGGATGGATGGATATATGGATGGATGGATATATGGATGGATGGATGGATGGATGGATGGATGGATGGATGGATGGATGGATGGATATATGGATGGATGGATATATGGATGGATGGATGGATGGATGGATGGATGGATGGATGGATGGATGGATGGATATATGGATGGATGGATATATGGATGGATGGATGGATGGATGGATGGATGGATGGATGGATGGATATATGGATGGATGGATGGATATATGGATGGATGGATGGATGGATGGATGGATGGATGGATGGATATATGGATGGATGAATATAGTTTACCCCAATCTTAATGACAGATGTTAACAGCACTTCTCAAAAGCAAAGCCTCTCTCTTCCTAATGCCCTCCTCCTCCCACAGTCCTCTTTCCAGTGACCCCAGATATCACCCCTACCTCTTTAGGATAACTGCCAAACTCAGCCTGCAGGGCAAGGACCCCCAGTTGCAGGAGTGTCTCGTCATTGCAATACAGCCTCTCTTCTAAAACATCTTTCCGAAGCTGCAAGTAAAACTGATGCCTTGTCCGGCTGTGCCTAGCAAAGAAACACAGGGAAAAAGACAGCTTGAGAGTCAGGAGAGTACCACACTGGAGGACTGCTCCATCTGGGAAAACAGGTACAACCCAGCAGAACCCAGAGAACAGAGCCAGAGAGACTAGTGTGGCTCCTCCTCCTACACCATGCCCCCTCCTCCTGATGAGGGCTTCTCTACACCAGATATTCCAGCACTCATAAGGGTGCAGTACAAGGCATAAAACTGATATTCAGTTAGGCAGTGTCTCTAAAAAGCAGCAGAAAACAGAGAGGGTGAGCTGACTTCAAAGCCAACGCTCTCTCCTGGAACTCTTCTCCCTGAGCTGTGGAGCTGAACATGGCAGACACTTAGGAAAAAGAGAACTTGATACTGAATGGACTGTGTTTGAAACACAAGAAACAATTTCTCATTTCGATCAGGGCCTGCCTCTAAAAGACTAGTTTTCCTCTTGATTCTATTACATCCAAACCCCATGGACAGAAATTGACCTTTACGTGCACTCTATCATTCCCCCACGCCTCTATCTATCCACTAGCCGTAATGCCAGCCTGGACAGTTATAGACCCTTTAATGATCCTAGGAACAGACTGTAGCACTCACTGGAGCAGCCCATAGTGACTGACAAAGAACTTTATCCGAAGGAAGAGCATTAAAGTGTCCATGGAACCTTTTGGGTACTGTTCTCTCCAGCCTTCTGGGGCAACTTTGCACAATCTGGTGTCCTTGTCCAGGAAAAAGAACTCTTCACCTGAGATGGAAATAGAGTTTGGAGGAAGAATTGAGAGAGAGAACCCCACCTGCCCACAGACTCATCCCTTGAGCTCTTCCCAGAGGATTGGGGCCTTAACTGCATTGGTGCAGAAGAGAGCAGAAGGTCCCTTCAGTATCTGGTAACAGGAGACTCTTGCATGGGTCATAGGAGCTGAGAGGAGTCAAAGGAAAACGATCAAGAAGAAACAATCACAACCGCCCTCAATATGCACAGTCTGTATCTGCAGATTCAACTAACCACACTGAAATATTTATTTTATATGAACTAAATATGTACAGACCTTTCTGCCATTGTCCCGGCTATGATATAGTACTTTGGTACAACAGCCCAAACTGATCAAGTCAGCGATAAGCAAAATCTTATTTGCAAGCTTGGGTCTTCAGCTCCAACAGAGTGGATCCTGCAGCCCATCTAGGTGAAGGTTAGATTAGTCGGAACCCCAGGATATACTGTCCCTGTCCCTCCCCTCCCTTAATCCTGTTCTCAGCCAGACTGAGCATCAGAGACCACTCCCAGGATTTCTGCAGGTCTGCCCCCCTCTGACTATATCCCACATTGTCTACTCCTGTGTTCCACCCCCCAACCTCAGTGTGTATGACTGTGGCTTGTCTAGGGTGGGCTCCTACTACAGTTAGAAGGTGGGACTTTTAAATTAGCAGCCAGCCTTTGGTGCCTGGGAGGTATGTGTGGAGAGGCCGGTAGATGACCAGGTATGTTAGAATCATGACCATCACCACCAGCATTGCACCATTGCTGCCAAATTTGGCTCTCCACACCATACTCACTTTCCCTTAAGACAGATTCTCTCCAAGGGGTAGATGGGGTCCCAACACAGTCTGGCTAGCAAACCCTCCCAAGACGGTCTCTATTCGGAGAGTCCTTGGTTGGAGGGTAAAGGTTGTATTCACCTATGAGCATACTTGTGTACCTGTGGGAGCTTTTGTATGTATGTGCCTGTGGAGCCCAGAGGACAATCTTGAATGTCATTACCCAAACGTCAGTCACCATTTTTATTGAGACAGGGACTCTAGGTATCCTGTAAGTCCCTGGGTAGGTTCTATTGGCATGCCAGCAGGCCCCAGGCATCTGTCTGTCCCTGCCTCCCTAGCACTGGGAGTACAATGACACACCATCACACTTAAATTTCCTTTGTACATGAGTTCTGGGAATCAAACTCGAGACCTCCTGCTACAAGCCCTTTCCCAGTGGAGCTGTCTCCCAAGCTTTGGCTTTTCCTTGGATTTTTCATTTCAAATAAATAAAATGCAGTGCCTTATGTGGGCTGCCCAGTGAGAAAGTGTAGCTTTCACCTCTCATCAAAGGCGTTTCTTTTACAGAAGACAGAGACCTTTACAGAAGGCTACCGCTGGTCAAAAGGCAGAGAACAACCAACCACGGGGCACCCAACCCCAACTGGTACGTCTATAACACCACCCCTCCACCTAAAGTGCCAGGAACGTAGCGAGAGAGGGAGTGAAAGGACTGTGAGAGCCCAAAGACCAGGGAGTCTGCTGTAAGACTGTGTCTTCTGGGTATGGCAAGAAAGCCACACCTATGCAATTCCAACAATATGGCTGACTAAATAAGATTCAAATAGTAGCAATGCCAATTGGCATACCAGTGTGAATAGAGAAAATCTCATGGGGCTCTAACCCTAGATGAAAGGCAACAATGACTGTTGAGAGAGAAGGGAGAATTAGTTTTCCCTAGAGATGAGCTCTTTAATTAGTTATCCAATACCATCCCTGACATACATGCATGTAACAATAATAACTAATGAATAAGAGGTAATGAATTTGAGAGATAGGGCATGGGAGGGGTTTGGAGGGAAGAATAGGAGGGGAGAAGTGATATAACTTTAATTCTAATTTTAAAAAATTTAAATGAAGTGATTTGAATAGGAAAGAATCATTTGGGTTCTTTGGGGCCAATGTGCAAAATGCCAACAGCACCCCAGATAATGCTTTGAATATTTGTTTGTCTAACTTCAGAGTGCTGTTACTGATCATACCTGGCAAGCCATCAACCCACATCCTACCCCCATTCTCTCATGACAAGCTGTGCTCACATGACACTTTTCACACAGGGATTCAAAGCACTCTCTGTTCTAATTTGTATTAAGGTAAGCAAAGTCAGGTGTCCTAGGATCAAACAACTTTCCAGGAGAAAAAGAGTTTAGGTATCCATGTACATGGGTTTCCAGAAGCTCAGGTAAACAGTGTCTCCAAGAAACACATACCTTTCACATAAGCCAAACCAAAGTAGGTGATCTCCCCGAGGTTGGTGAAGGACATGACAGCATTGAAGACAGCTCCTACTGTGGACTCCATGTCACACTTCACCTCCAGACACTGTCCATTCAGCAAGACCACACAGAGGTCTCTGAGAGCCAAGTAGGATTTCCCTTTTTTGGTCTGAAAACAATAGTATCAATGCTCACAATTACGAGGAGACTGTGAGTCCAACTGGGGCAAGTTCACCAGGCTAAGTGTGTCCCATAAATTAGTTCATTTAATTGTCTAATTACCTATGAGTATAGTTTTGCTCCCTATTAGCAGATGAGAAACTGAGGCTTAGAGACAATGAGGAACTTTTCCAGGATTGCACAGTCGGTAAATGGCAGAATGCAGACCCAAGTCTGAGCTCTCTGAAGAATCTCTGAGCTCAGCAACGTGGGGAGGTAGGAGACATATGTTTCCCCAGCTTTCCTTCAGGCTCCTGCATGAGTCATGGACCCCTGACTGAGCCAGAGGGGAGCCCTAGTGTTTATTCTCTGAGCTACAGAGAAGACAAGCATGGGGCTGACAAAAGAACCTGGAAAAAAAAAAAGACACCATCCCAGGCTTCCCACAGCCCTGCCTCCAAAACACCAAAGAGCCAAAAGACTGCATTGCCAGACAGGATTGGCCAGACAGGCGTCTTGGCTCTAGGAGTACGGAAAATGGGAAGGGTCATCTTCCCAGATGCTCATCATTAGCGGAGAAGCTCATGGCTCCAGGCTGGGCAAGAGCCAGGAAGGCATGTACTTGACTGAGCTGGGTAGCACACCCATATAGTGCCCTCCCTCTGCTAGAGCCTTTTCCTAAAATCCTCCATCCTCCATGCCTCTTCCCTCCTTTCTTGTTCCCTGGCTTCCCTGGCTAAAGGAGCAACTTTTCCCCCATCCCCACCTGTCGTCTTCTACCCTCTCCCATCCTTATGCATCTTCTCAGTTATTTTAAATCACAAAGTACTACCTGGCATGCTTCTCTGTTATGCATTTGTCTCCCTTTTCCTCCTCCTGCCAGACTATAGGCTTCACATGGAAAGGACTTAGTTCACCAAAGCATAGAGTGGGACCTGGCAGAGTACCCAGTCTGAGATAGTCCCAGCTGAGTGAGAAGATGAAGGCTAAACTGAGATTAGGGGCAAGGGCAAGAAGGAAGCCACAAAGAGCTCCTCTCATAGGAGAGAATGAGAGGCAGGAGTAGCATGGCCACATCCTGGCTGGGGTCTGGAGGGACAGGAGAGGTGGGAGAAGATGGCACGGATGGAAAGGAAAACAATCCTCTTTAAACAGCTTTGAGCATGAGCAGAAATAGGAGGAAGAGAGGTAGAGAGACATGGGGGTTCATGGGAGAAGGGTCTAGAGCAGAGAGACTACCAAGATACCCCAGAAAAGATCCCAACCAAAGTGCAGTCAGTCTTAAGTTTGTTTGACTTGATTCCTTCCTGTCCCACCCAGGCTAAGCAGTAGTTACCACAATGGATCCAGGCAAATGTAGGGTCACCGGGGCCTCTCCAGCCAACAGGATAAACTCTGGTCTGGAGAACTGAGAAAAAAAACATCCAAAATAATCAATCATGAAATAAAAAATGGCTTCCAGGCTTTGAAGCTCATTTCCCTCTGCCCTCTGCAGCCCTCTGCCTGCCTGACCCCCACCCAGTGCCCCTCAAAGAACCAGGTTTCAGCAAGACAGAGATGAATGGGCTGTCCATCTTAACAGGGGCCTAGCAGTGCGGTCTAGGAGGCCGGCAGCAGGCTGGCTTTCACTGGGCGCATCATTAGAGGTTAGCATTTACACAGCAGTACATAATCTTCACGAGTGACAAAAGTCTAAAACGAGCTGGGATAGAGGCACACGCCTGCAATCTCAGTTCTCAGGAGCCTGAAGGAGGAGCATCAGAAGTGTGATGAGCTACCCAGTAAGACTCTATCTCAAAAGCAAAAACAATCTTAAAAAAAAAAAAACAAAAAAACCTTAAAATCAAGGACTGTGAAGATCTTCAGTCAGTAAAGTGCCAAGTGCAAGCATGATGACCCAAGTTCAGGACCCCAAAACTCATGTAAAAAGCCAGGCATGGTGGCATGCACCTCTAAACCCAGCACTAGGGAGGGAGTGAGGTGCTCAGGAGGCTCCCTGGAGTTTGCTGGTCAAGCAGTTTAACTGAAGTTGCTGAGTTCCAGGTCCAGTGAGAGACCCTGCCTCAAGAAAACAAGGTAACGAACAATTGAGTAGACCCTGGAACTGATCTCAGCAAGTTAACTAACCTCAGCAGACGTTTTCTATGAAAATCCACAGGAGGTGTAAATAGACCACGGGGCCACCCCTCTCTGTATGTCCTATTAGCTTGGCCTTCAAGGCTGGGCAAGTTGGTGTGGCTGCTCTCTGGCCTCAACTCCTCCATATTTTTCCAATCCTAACACGTACACGCACAAACACACACACACACACACACATGCCAACAAGACACTTCTTCCTAGGTAAACCACCTTGCAAGCCCAGAAATGCCCCTGCATCCCTGCATTTTGTCTGCCTAACGGTCTCTTACAAGCGCATTCTGCTTTGTCCTCTCTCTTATGTGCCAACACTGGGCCTACAAACTTCTACACACATGGCCCCAAACTTCAGGAAAGGTGGGCCTGAAAACCTCACATCCTAAACAGCATCTACTGTACAGCCAGGGGTTACGGAAGGGGCCGGGAGGCTGGAGGATACCTAGCTCCAAGTGGCCAGGTTCAGGTTTCTGTCAGTGCAGATGTACAAACGCCAGCCCAGGGCCCCTGAGTACTGAAGCCCCTCCCTGTATCCTCCCTCTGTGTTACAGGTCCCGTCTGGGACTGCTCTCAATGGTGTCCTTCAGCTACAGACCTCTTTACTTGCCTTTCCATTTCCTTGTAGGAAATTCCTTGGAGAAGATGTCGCTAGCTGTGAGCTTTCTGCTTCTGCCAAGAGCATAGGCCCAGAGCCACACCGCAGGCCCTCCTCACAGCCACAGGGATCCACACCTGCCAAAGCACTGACCAGGAATAAGAAAGGGTAAGGCACTTGATGATACATCCGTCCTACCACAGACTCAGCCGCTACCTTATGTTATTTCCCACATCATAAGAGGTAATGCCACACCGTCCATTGGTGAAGCTGAGACCCTCAGAGGTTAAGGCTACACAAACACAGGCTGGGGAACTACTTAAGGTATGAGACCACATATACCCCCCACTTCCACCATCCCAGGATTCTGCCTCTGTGCCTGCTCACCATGATCTCAAAATCCCAATATTCCCTAAATATATCATGGCCCTGACTTTGTTTTTGAAATTTTGGGCAGTCCAACTCTTTTGACAACAAACATTCATGAACCACCTGTTGATGCTTTGGTCAAAGGCAGACCAACTGTGTGTGCAACAGGGGTCCCGTGATTCAATGAAGCTAGCAAACTCCAATCATTTAGACAGGCTGAAGCCAACAGTGTGCACACTATGTCGTGGGGATGCTCAGGTAACAAACCCACTCCCCAGGAGTGAAGCCTCCCCAGTCAGTGACTCAGTTGATCACAGATGCAGAAGGCGGCCAGAGAGGCCAGGAATTCTGGCTAAACCCTAGAAATCAGCATGGTGAGTTATGAGCTCCAAGTAACTGTGTCCAGCAGACACTGTGCTGTGTGGTTGTGTGCTGCGTGGCAGGCAGGGTGTGCCTGGGGATCACCACTAAAAACCAGTGCTTGTGATGTTCCATTTCTGGGTCTGAATGGGCTTCCCAGAAGATACGGGTTCTTGACAAGACCGTTGTCAGCAGGCAGCATGTACCTTGACTTTTCACTAATGTCCTTTCCTGAAGAACGGGAATCAGGTGGTGTAGACTCCCACAGCTAGGTCACAGTGTGAGCTTCGTGAGCAGGAGACTCACCCATGAACGAAGCCACAAGAACTGTGAGCCGCGGTGCTCCAATGTCGCTCTGAGGAGCTCTGTGTCTCTGTACTTCTCTCTGAAACTAACCAAACAGTGTGGTAGGGAGGGTTGGTGCAAATAAACAGTGGCCAAGAGTGTGGACACCCCTCAACTGATCAGCTGTGTGCCCTTGGGGGGATCACTAACCATCTCTGACTCTGTGCTCCCACACTGCAAATGGAAATGACAGTCATGAGAGTAGGGAGGTGAGATTGTGTTAGCAAGGAGGATAAACCTAAAGACAAAAGGCAAAGCAGGTCCTTGATTTAGGAACAACAAACAACAACTTTAAATAAAAATAAACAAACAAAATAAGGCTTGGTGGTACACACCTGTGACCTTGTACTCAGAGGTTTGAGGCTGGAGGATCAGGAATTCTAGGCTATATCATGAGATTCCATTTCAAAATGTGCAAGTAAATAAATAAGGCGTGATGGCTAATACTGATCAACTTGACAAGATCTGGAAATAAAGCTCTGGGCATGCCTTGAGAGACTTCTCAGATCTGTTTAATTGAGATGGGAAGATCAGCCCTAGCTACGAGTCACGCCATTTCACAGGCTGGGTTCACAGGCTGAATGAAGAAAGTGAGCTGAGCACAGCATCCACCTCTCTCTGATTCCTGACCCTGTATGCCACGTAACCTTGTGACCACAGATGCCGCCACGCCACTCCTCCCGCCATGCCTCACACTGTGAGGGAAACCAAACTCTGCCTCCTTTGGGTGCTTGTGGTTGCTGTTACTGTTAAGTAAAAAATAAGAAGAAGGGCAGCTTTGCTGGCGCAAGAAATCCAATTAGGTCAAATCGAACCAAATCAAAATGCCCATCATTTTATTAAGAATGACGCTCTCAGGTGACCGAGTGCATGACAGGGAGACAGAAAAGCAGGGAGCCCGTGCAGACCTGAAAACCATGTTTCTCCTCTGGGAGCCCACTTAAATACCCTGTGGGAGTGGTCGTGGAGTCCAGAGCAATGCAACTCCCGGGCCAGGTTGGCTGGGATGGATGCCAGGCTGAAGGCTATGCTCCAGACTTAACAGTTACCTCCCACAACAAGAAAAGAAACTAAAACATATCTCAAGTTCAGGGAGCTGAGAAGCAGATAAAAGCATATTTGAAGGTTGATGTAAAAACCACTCTTTGAGCACATCTAGAGTAACATCAAACAAACAAAGCCTCTTATGAGTCACTGCTTGTCATTCCACTTAGCAGGTTATTTTAAAACCTTTTTCTGTTTGGGGGCTGGAAAGATGGCTCGGTAGTTAAGAGCACTGACTGCTCTCCTGGGAGCCCTGAGTTCAATTCCCAGCACCTACGTGGAGGTTCAAAACCACCTGAAACTCCAGAACAGCGGATCTGACGCCCTCGTCTGGCCTCCACAAGCATCAGGTTATACACATGGTGCACAAACAAAAAACCCTCATGCATAACATAAAACCTTTTTGCCAGGCAGTAGTGGCACGTGCCTTTAATCCCAGCACCTGGGAGGCAGAGACAGGCAGATGTCCGTGAGTTCAAGGCCAGCTGATTTACAAAGTAGTTCCAGGACAGCCAGAGCTGTTACATAGAGAAACCCTGTCTTAAAACAAAAAATAATAATAATAATAATAATAACTCTAACCATATCATCAGTTTGGACAACTAGACGCCAATTTAAACAGCTAATATTAAATATAATTAACTCTATTTAACTGTTATAAGTTTAGTAGGCACACTGACCCTAGGCCCAGGCCCTTAGCACTTTTCAGGAGAGAAGCACTTGCATGGGCATGTTCTGTATGTATATCAGAGATATCCACACTCAGGACAGGAGACAAGGAAATGGTCACTTTGCATACCATCTGTCTAAACAGGACCGCTCAGAGCCTTCACTCACCTCTTCGCGGCTGCAGACCATCAGAGGCCCGAGCTCCAGGACTCTCACTGGCAGCCCGGTGCAGCTTACTCCTGAGAAAGAAGCTTCTGCTCTGCCGCTCACAGGTACCTTCCTCCACAACTCGTCTCTCCACCTGAACGAGGGTTGATGGACTCGCAAGTCAGCAACCAGGTCAGATGGGTGCATTGATACCAACACGTGCAAGCTACCTGTCAGGCTAACTAACCCCTTAGACAAGTACTCTATCACGGAGCCCCTAGATTCTTTTTTTAAATTGAATTTCCTTTTAACTAAAATTTGGCTGATTTATATTCCAATAGCCATACACAGCTAGTGACTCTCCAATGGGAAAGATGGGTTCCAAAACTGACCTCAGAGATTGTGCCCAGCACCAAGCCCACCAGCCGACTGACGTGGAGACTGGCAGGGGCTGGGTATACAGCCACTCCTTCCTGATGAACCCGGCAGGCTTCCAGAACTGCCTGCAGCGGCCGCCGTCTTTGAGGCTGGTCTTCGCACATGGCCAGCAGGAGGGAGTGCACAGGCTCTTGAAGCTGCAGGGGCTGCAGAGGACACACTGGTGACAAGTGTGGCCAAGTGGAAAGGCTGCTGCCGGGCACCAAGGCCCACATGCCCCAGAGACTCCAGGAAACACACTCATCACTACTGAAACAGATTTGCTTCTGGAACAGACATCTGATTTGTCATTAGGGCCAAGCCACGGTTTCGACATCTGCTGTCCTTGCTACACCCTGCTCTGAGCTCTTCAGCTCCAACGCAAGCTTGGTAAGTTGATGAAAAGCCTGTGCCAGACATCATAGACCTCAACTTGAGCCAAATGCTTGGCCACACTAGTGGTCACACACACACACACACACACACACACACCACTACATTGACCTGGTAGCCTGGTGCTTTCAACAGTTATTTGGTGTGGGAGGGGGCAGTCATCTCATGGGGACTTCCTCCTGGAACTTGAGTGCAAGGGGGTCACGTGAGTTAAAGTGGCCTTTCATGTGGACTTATGAGCAGCAGGCAAGGGCTCAGTTACAGTCATCATGGTAGAACTCTATGCCACAGTCACATCAGGCCAAAGGAAAAAGAGTCTTGCACACGCACTCTCTTTATGCTCTCAGGGAGCCTTGACTATGGTGCCCATCTTCATGGCAACAGACCACTGTGTCAAGTATTAACACAGTTCACTAAAGGCCACTGTGTCTAACACAGTTGCTCTTCAACCTCATTGCCTTAAAGCTCACTTATTACTCAAAGAGCAAGAACAGCTGAAGATGACAAGGGCTTGACCCCCAGGAAGCACAGGACCTCACAAGTACACAGATGGAAGCCGGACCCAAGGAGAACTCAAACAGCAGCGGGGGTTTGGAAAAGCAGAATGAGCTTTCTGGTGCACATGCACAGAGGCAAGAGGTGCAGGTGAGCTAGTGTGGATGAGCTGGTGTGTGTGCCTGAAAGGAAAAGACTACGGCAGGGGCTATGACAGAATGGTAGTGTGGGGCCCCAAAACCCTGGGTACAAGATGGCGCTGGCAGAGCATTAAGCCAAGCACAGGATTGCAAGTCACACATCCACAAGACAAGCCCTGGGACTGTCAAGGAACCAGCAGACAGGAGCAGGAGCCATGTTCTGGAATCCATGTGCCCTGGTGAAATGCTGGAATAAAACCATGAGGGCTGCAGGTAGCCAGTGAGGGTCTCACTTCAGGAAGAATGAGTTGTAAATAGTTTTCTGTTTAAGAGATGAGGAGAAAGAGAAAAAGGGAGGTAGGGAGAAAGAGGGGGGACTGGTGAGAGGGGAGTGAGGGCTCCATGGCCAGGCTCAGCAATGCTTCTCATAGCCCTAGTTTTTAATGGATTCTTATGATGTCAGATGGAAATGCTCTCTCTCTCTCTCTCTCTCTCTCTCTCTCTCTCTCTCTCTCTTTCTCTCTCTCTCTCACACACGCACACACACACACACACACACACACACACACACACACACAGAGAGAGAGAGAGAGGCACACACCCATATAAGGCACATACATGAATGCATGCATTCACATAGTGCGTGAACTCATCAAATTGTGCAACATGCTTTGCCCCATCAAGCTTCTGTGTTTTGAGTCTTAAACAGTCTGTAACAAGTTAGTCTGACACCTCTTCCAGAAGAGACAGTGCAGGGTACATTTTCTCTCAGATACTGAGCACAGAACCCTTTTCTCAGTGGTTCACTTCAGAAAGGGCTGATTCTAAAAGCATTTGAGAGAATACATAGATAACTATCTTTGGTATATGTGAAACCCTCTAGCTTTCTACTTCCTGTGGTCCAAGAGAACAAGTGAATCTTATCTTGACTGCCAGTCCCAACCTGGATCCTCTTTGGATTGTTTAAGAAAACGCTGAAGTTGTTTATGGACTCAGGGGAATGACTGTGCAATCAGCTGGTAATACCTGTGTAAGGCTTAGCCCAGCAGGGTGATGACAGCCACACTTAAGGCATGTGGTCCAGCCTAGGGGAGAGCTACTAAGCTAATCCGGATGGATGACCTGGTAATGTGTGCATTCTTGTTTGCAGACCTGGTTTGGCGGAACACGATACCCAGCTGACCAGTAGAGCGTCATCCCTAAGGAGTAGACATGCATCTGCCCAAGAGAAAAGCACATGGTTAGAAGTCAGGCATGAGTCCACAGTCCCGCAAGCAAAGCACAGCAGTTTCCATGAGCAAGAGGGTGGAAATCTGGCTAGGCCAGCACGGCGCCATCTGTACCTCCTTAACCTTTGCTCCCTCCCACGCTGCAGGCTAGAAATTTGTTTTCTAGCAGTAACTATGACTCCCCAGTTTTGTGAAAAATAAGAGAACATCTGTTAGGGTGCTTATGGAAGGAAAAAAACAAAACAAAATGAAACTTTTGCTTTATTGGGAAAAAAAGTATGTGACGGGCCCCACACTTGCCCTGTTGTTTAACTGCAATACCGTACGATACGTGGAGCCACAGCAGCCGTCTTGCAGCCATGTGGAAATAAACACAGGAACTAGAATAGAAATATATATTCTGGATCCTTGTTGATATCATTGAGTTGCTGCTACCCATACCGAAACTGCTCCTTAAGTAACTAAGGACTAACTATGACTCTGGCTGTTGTATCTCAGACTTTCTGTTTCTTGTAACCATAGCTATCCATCCACAACATGCTAGGGGGCAATCTTACTGCAAAGCCCTATGTCTTGTCAGAAAAAGCACGGCTCGACTTCTCTGAAGCTCCATGTTTTTAAAAATGAGTGTTCTGCCCAAACCCTCATAAGCATGGAATACGAAAGCACTTGGGGTGGTCATTATTATCAGGCCAAGCCCTATTCTAAGTCTTTTGCTTATTTAAATGTATTTGGTCTTCACAGCAATCCCCTGAGGCAGGTTTTCAATTGTCCTCATTTTAGATAAGAGGAAACTAGAGCAAAGGGAAGCTAGAGGAACTGCCTAAGAAGACCCAAACATGCGATGGAACCCAAGCCCTGGAATCCCATAGCTGTGACCTCCAGATTAATCAGTGTCATTTGTTGATGCTGGTGGCTTTCACTGTAGGAGAAAAAGACAATATCCATGAAGATCCTTTTCAGGAAAATACTTTTGTAGCTGTGCAAGAGAAGCCCCTGAAGTAACAAACTGTGTGTTAACCCCGTGGTTCCTAAGTGCCGCTAGGGACTTTTCCAGTGTCCTCCAGCACTTGCTGGGAAGGCTTCACCCTCTCCAGGGTGGTTTGACTCCCACACCTTGGAGGAGGTCTGGCCAGTTCTTTGTCCTAATATCCAGAGCTAGAGAAAATCCAGCTCTCCCTATGTTAGACTGTCTAACACAAGTGATCTGAGGTCCCACAAGTATCCCCTGTGCCTGTAAATTATTGTCTTTATTTATCTGAAATTGCTCCCCTATAGCCCAGCGCCATCCACAGACCTAATGCAGTTCATAGAACTGGAATAGAATCTTGGGCACAGCTGCAGTGATCCTGAGAAGTGATATGGCATCTTGGGCACAGCTACAGTGACCCTAAGCAGTACTGGGATGGCACCCTGGGCACAGCTGCAGTGACCCTGGGCAGAAGTGATATAGCTTCCCGGGCACAGCCAGAGGTACCACTCATACCCAGAACTCTCCATGGGTTCCAAAGCTCTGTCTAAAAATGTTCTGGGGGTCAAGCTGAACCCAGTAGGCTCCATACCAAACCCTAAATTCAGCCTACTGGGAGACATGGTCAAAGGAGGTTTCTGAAGGCAACTCCTGGGTCTCTGAGGAAGAATACCAACAGCCTGCTCGAAGGATGAGGTGAGGTAAGGCCATTCAAGGGACTCCCAGCTAGAGACTTGCCCACATCTGCCCCCTGCACCTAGTCTAGATTCGGGTATGGTGCTGAGTGCACTGGTTAGAGTAAGATGTTAGTCTCAGAATGCAGCCAGGGCTTGGGAAGGGCCCTGAGTACAGCCCCTGCTGGGACCTCTACGCTCCCGACTTCCCAGATATGCTGTCACAGCGCTCTGCCAAGTTGGACGAAGAGAGAACTGGTGTAGTGAAAGGAAGAGGGCTGTAGTTACCAGAGCTGTTCAATGTCATAAATCAAGAGACCAAATGACTCTGCCTGGTTCTTCCTAAGGAGACTGAGGACACATCCTTCAGCCCCTCCTGGAGGCCCTCCAGAGCCCAGCCAAAGGGTGTTAAGCAGCCAACCAAAGAGTCTCAGACTCGGCTCAGACCCAGTCCCGCCCACACTTGCTATCTGTGACTCGGTCCTACTGCCTATTCTTTTCTCGCTAGCCTCTTAGCCGCACATCAGCCCAGTTCTGGGCTCAGCCTTAGAATCCCCTAGGACTTGAAACTTCTGCATGGAGGAGTAAGCAGGGGGAGCTGAATTTTCTCTTGCTCTGGATATTAAGGCAAAGGACTGGCCAGACCTCCCTCAAGGTATTCAGAGGAAGCCAAACTACACTGGGGCAGGTGGGGCATGCCCAGCAAGTGCCGGAAGACACGGGGAAAGTCCCCAGCAACACTCAGTATCTATTTCAACTCAAGTCCTCTAAAAAGCAAAGCTGGAGGCAAGGACTGGGTACCAGCACTTGATGTAGAAGCTATAAGCCCAGAGCAATGAGAATGAGGAGAAGGAGGAGAAGAAAGCAAGGACAGATGTGGCACATAAAGTCACATTGCTGCTTCAGAGCCCAACAGGATGGATGGAAGACGTGGCTTCCTAGATCTCACAAGGGATCTCCAGTCAATATGCAGAGACTGTACATTTTGACTCCAACCATGAGGGGAAAGAAGAGAAAGGCTTTACCTTCTCAGCTCCTCCCTCTTGCCCATCACTGGCTAGGGTTTGTCCCTGTAGGCAACTAGCCCCTTTCCACTCCCCTGCATTTGTGTATCATGTTGATGCGTCATTGTAGAAAGCAGAGCTCGGAGTCAGTGTGGCGTGTTCACTGAGTCCAGAACATGACAGGTGAAGCATGAAGCTAGGGATCCAGACAGAAGGGGTCTGAGAAGCAGCCATCTCTATCTCACCCAAAGCCAGAGGCTCACCCAGGGATCTCACAGCTGGGGAGGGTGTGTAGGCCTGGAGGACAGAAGCCATTGCAATGGCTGCTCCATGTTTCCATTGTTATGGTGTAATCTGAAGCTGCATGGACCCTGAGGAACCAAACCTGGAAGTCATAGAGGCCGCAAACTCTTCTCAGAGCCCAAAGAAAAGTGGCAGAATTCCCCGATGCTCTGGGAGGAGTAGCACTCTAGGTCTGCAGATTACCTATGCAAGGCCAAGGAAGAAGGGTTGTGCCCACCCAGCGCCAGCATTGTCTGGCTGCTTTGACGCATTCTGACATTTGAGTTCTTCTTCTTCTTCTTTTTTTTTAACTGAAAATACTGAAATATGTTGCTGTTCAGAAGAAAAACATTTTTCACTGAGGAAATTCAGAAGTTCCACTGATGCTGTCATCCAGCGTAAGACACTGTGTATTATGTGTGTTTAATCTTCTCTCTCTCCACTAAACAAATTTCAGAATCTCACATGAGTGCCATCTTTTCTCAAGTCCACTCATGACTGACATCCATTTTGTTTTAGTTCATGGATGACGTAGACAGTACCCTATCAAGCACCTCTACAGCTGAAACCACCTGAAGCTACCTGAGGATAAACATCTATGGGGGCTGGCCGGGTCGTTCGGAAGGTCCTTACTTCATGTAGCCAGTGTCCACTTTATGAAAACCATTTGCCCACAGTGTTCCACAAGACTTCTCTTTATACTTCTTTCTGTGTGCAGTATGGACATATACACATGCCCATGCACACACATACATGTGGAGGCCAAAGACTGACAGCTGGGTGACTTCCTTGTTAACGCTCACTTTATATTTTGAGATCTCTTACGGGACCTGGAGCTTACCAACTGACTAAACTAGCCGGCTAGCTAGGCCCTGGAATCCTCCTCTCTCCAGCTTTGAGAACTGGGATTATAGGTATGCACCATCACACCTGACTTTCTGCATGCTTACATGCAAGCTCTTTAACCCCTGAGTCACCTTTCCAGCCTGCAACACTACTTTTTAATGCTGGTAAAGCTTGATCCACAAAGTTATATTTGTCTCGCTTAACTGACTGGAAAACTTGGGCTCAATGAAGTTGAACGGGCTTATCTAAGAGCTGGTAAATTGCTGGCAAGACAGTCTGCAAAGAACATGCATTAAACCTCAGAATTGGGGCTGGGCAGGGAGTTTGGGGTATCTCCCCCAGGAAAGGCTTTCCCCAGGGTACTGAAGCGGGGCGACACACATCCAACCTGTGATGCTTCCGGCTGCTCATCCTCATTTGGTCCCTGGAGCAGTTCCGGAGCCTTGAATGGTGCAGCCTCGATGTGAGAAACATGGTCTTGGAAAGAAAGACTTCCAGCTGCAGAAAGCAGGAGTGACCAGGGGCAGATCACATAGTCTGAGGAATCTGGAAACGAGGCAACGGTGGAGCGTAAGAACAGGGTCGCTGTGTCAGACAGCACTTGCTTCTAGGACTGATTCTGACCAGGGCCTATTTGGGCATGGGACAGGATAAATTCCACCCAGCACATAGAAGTGTGTATTACAGAAGGTGGCTGCAACTGTGGATAAGAATTTAGTGCCTGCGTCTGGATCTCTGAGGACCCGAGCATTTTAGAGTAAAAGGTCAAAAACGATCAAGACCAGCTGGGAATTGGTGCAGACTTGAGTCTGTTGCAGCTGAGTCAGGGACTGAGGTCATGGTCATGGCATAGCTCTACAGTAGTTCATCAGATCCCCCAGGGCAGGAGACAGACGTGAGGACTCAGGAGGGAGACAAGCTAAGCTAAGCATGCAGCCTCCCTCCACTGGCTGACACTGGGAATCGGCACCCAGCGGAGCCTACCTACTCTGGCGTGACCTGAGCCATGTTCTGCACCTTCTCAGTCTTGGGGGAAGGGTCTACTGAGTCAATGCCTACATGCAGGCTCTCTGTGTTTACTTCACCTGCAGACTGAACACCCCACAGCTCCAAATCGCCTTTCCATCCGGGCTTCTTTAAGCATCTCTGCTGTCAACACTATGAACATTCATCTCAGAAGAGACACTGCAGAGACCTCAGAGGTAGTAGGGCCTCTCCTGCCATGTTGGGAAGCCAGTGGTATGAATATAAGATGACCAGGCAGGAGCACGCCTGTCCTGAACTCAACCACAGGACATGAAAGCCCTGCATACCTCACGGCCTGGCCTCACACTGTGACCACTTCCTCATGGGCCTGTCCACGTAGATGCTCCAGGCTCCAGTCTTCCTGCTCTCACACTATCAGCCTGTTCATCTGAGCGTGCCACATTCCAAAGGGTCACCCCTAACTTCTAGGCCTTCTGAGTCATCACCTGGCTGTTGCCTCTGCGTCACCTGGACCATGACTGTAGACTACCTCTGGCCAGATCATCTAGAGACCTTCAGCATCATGAGCTGCAAGACAGTTCCTTCGTAGGCTAAAACCCAACCTGGGGAGGAGGACCTGTCCGTGACACTAGGGGTACGTATAGGCTTTTCTTACATCTTCATCCATACCACGGTTTAGTGATTTTCACATTAACCTCTCTTGTTTAGACCACACAGTAGGTTCTGTCTGCTGATGGGGCAGAATAGACAGCATCTGATGGACGGCTTGTGGGGACATTCCAGCTGTTGGGAGAGGCCTAGCTGCTGCCACTAGTCTCTCTGTAAGCACCACGCAGGCCCAAGGCCGAAGCACCACCTTTCAGCTTGGTCACAAGGCATATGGGAATAGGCCACCGCCCAGCAGCCGCCTGGTGGGGACCGTTTGCCCTCTCGTACGAAAACCTTAGGGTTGATCACAGCTCAAGAAGCTGCCAGAAGGAAGGTTGCTTAAGAAGCTTTGCCTTCGATTTCCTAGGATTCAGTTGGCCCAAATACACCCTTACCATTTCGGAGGTCTTCCAGGAGCTGCTCAGCAGCCGTCGACAAGAGGGACCAGATTTCCTCCTCAGACAGGGCTTCACCCCTGACCTGCAGGGCGCTGGCAAGTGTCACCGAGGCTGCGCTCATGCCTGTGGAGACAGAGTTCTGCACTGCCTGGGAGTGCTCCATCACTCCAGCTACCTGGTAGGGTATGTTCACCTCGCTTTCATTGCCATCACCTCCGAGGCACAGGACAAGCAGATGGGAGAATTAGAAGTGGTCGCTGCCCCTGGCCAGACAAGTCGGTGGCTTCTCAATAAATGAGCAAATAAACAGATCAATCGGCTCTCCGGTGAAAAGTTGAAGAAATGGATGAAGGACAAGTGACTTAGAGCAAGTACCCCTCCTCCAGGGAGCTGACTGCCCCAGGGAGTGTTCAGTGCCTGGTCTTCATCTCTGTCCTGGAAACCAGACTGACAACCATTTAGCATGCCTTTCGTCATCAGCTGCCACTACGGAGCTGGCGGCAGTGCCAGGGCAGGCAGGCCCTTCTGTCTGCTCTTGCTTATAGGATTAGTGAGAATCACCCGCCCCCGCCCCCACCAAGAGAACAAGAGCCTGAATTTCAGAGCAGGAAGGACACACAAGGCAGCTGGAGGAGGGGCCCCCGCCAGGAGAGCAGCTCTCTTTACTTCTAGAAGTATCCTCTAAACCAAAGCTGACATTTCCATCTGCCCGCCCCCTTTCCTCTAATCCCCGCAACACAACACACACACACACACACACACACACACACACAGAGAGAGAGAGAGAGAGAGAGAGAGAGAGAGAGAGAGAGAGAGAGACCCTCACTAATCCCCCAAGCCCTGCTGGAGGCAGCTGGAAGGGCCAGGCTGCAGCTTTTCCTAAGCTTTTAATGGCTGCAGAGCTTGCTCTTCAGCCAGAGCCTGGAAGGCAGGCCCCCTGGCACCCTGGTGGGAAGCAAAGTTGTCTACTCACCAACTGCTCAGCACCCTGGGGAATGGAGGTTGACTCCCAGCTTTTCCACTGGGACACCTAGAGGCAGCTATGGGAGCTCCTGAAGACACATGACCTATGAGCTGTGATTTGTCATAGGTAGTCTGTGAGGGCAACTGGGGTCCCCAGTCACAGACAAGTGACTATCTCAGGTGTAGGTGTTCTGGTTACACCTAGGTGATCATTACATGTGATTTAGAGTCATCAGAATCACATCATACCCATATTTGTAAAATTATATGTGTCAGTAGAAATTTTCCGGAGATAAATTAGGACCCAGCCAGGCCCTATCCTTTCTTTCTTCCTTTCCTCTCTGCTCCACAATTTTCACTTTTTGTTTTTTGTTTTTGTTTTTTTTTCTCCTCTTAAAAGTTGTTACAGAATGATGGACTTAGACATTCACATTTAACCAAATACTGCTAACTCTGTAATCATGGTCAAGGACTTTTATTAAGGAAAAGGGAGAAATACTTTGATCCTCAGACCAAAAAAAAAAAAAAAACCTCAAAATCCCAGAGGGGAGCCAAGACTAGAAGAAAAACAAACTGCGTTGTCAGCCTGCTGTGCAGGTGGCAGCTTGGTGAGACCATGGCTTCACACAGCAGTTCCGAGGAGAAAGGACGTACTTTTCAACCAACAGCCACGAGTCCTTTATCAGAACCCTGAGCAATGGCCTAAATCGCACACCTTTACAGAAATCAGTTCAAAGTGAGTCATAGATTTAATATAATACATAAAACTATTCATTTTAGGGAAGCAAGGGAGAAAATGCAGGGACTAGGACTGGGGAGAAGATTTCGTGAACTTGACGCCAAGAGCATAATCCACAAAGGGATGTTTAAGTGATAAGTCATTGAAATTGTTTTTTTTTTTTCTTTTCCTTTCTTTTTTTTGCTCTGAGAAAAATTCCATGAAGAGTGGAAATGAAAAATTTTTTATGAAAAAGCAAATTATACTAAGATAAAATATTTTAAAATCGTATATCGGAAGAAATGCACATATTTAGGGTGTCTATTTTTAAACCCTCAGAACTCATCAGTAAGAAAACAGATTCAGAGAGAGCTCAGTGGTCGAAAGCTCTTGCTGCCCAAGTGTGAAGACATGAGTTCGAATCCTCAGAGCACATGTAAAAATTGGCTGTAACACGAGAGTCCACAGTCACCTGTAGCATGACGGGAGGTGCAGACAAGTAAGTAAATATCCAGAAGTTAAAATGCCAGCTATCCTGGTGAACAGAGGAAGCACTGTCTGGGATGGGGTGGACCCTACCTCAAACAAGGTGGAAGGAGAGGACCAGCACCAGGATCAAATTTTAACCTATTTGCACAGGCCGTGGTAGGTTCATGCCCACACTCACCCACATGAACACTTACTCAGATTTACAAATACACATAAGAAAATAAACAGTATAATTAGAAAATGACACAGACATTCCCCCAAAGATATTTACATAGATACCAAATGAAACCAATGAAAATATATTAAACATCATTAGATATTAGAGAAATGCAAATTAAAGCCATAATAACATGATACTGCATACCCATTGGAATTACTAAAACAAACATTTGTCACAACCCCAAATGCTGGTGAGTGTGCCTAGAAACCAGCTCTCTCACACTGCCAGTGAGACTGAAAAGGAACAGGTACACTGGGAAACAGCTTGTCGGTGTCTTACAAAATTAAACGTGCAATTGCTATACAACCCAGCAACATTATTCCTATACATTTAATTGAAGAGAAAGGGAAATTTATGCCCTCACAAAACCCATCTATGAGTTGGCTTAACAAATCACCTTGAAAAAACAGCATGAAGAGGTAAATCTGAACATTCATGTAAACACACATCCTCACACAACATCAGGTACCACCCTAAGTGTGGATGCTCTACGCATGGGCTCTCCTTGGAGTTGGTGGCCCCAGATACATGATATGTATGTACATGCATATACATATATATCTATATCTATATCTATATATGGTCTGAGACAGCCTAAAAATTCAAACACCGCACCCCTGCGCATTGAATTTCATCAGAATGCAGTTGTAGAATCCAAAACAGGGAATGTGTAGGTCAAACGGCTGGGGTCCTCAACAAAGACATTGTTTAAAGAAAGCAAAGGAAGGGAGGTCACAGAACACCAAAGTAAGAACCTTCCCAAATCTTCCCATCCATAAAAGCAATGGTATCATGAGCAGCTCCCCCAGACACCACAGACTTAGGCCACAGCTGTGGTTCTTTCTAATACCATTCTTAGGCATTGCCATCCCCAGAAATCTCTCTCAAGAATTGTTTGTATCGGGGCTAGAGAGATGGCCTAGCAGTTAAGAGCTTGTTCTGTTCTTGAAGAGAATACACGATTTTTTAAAAAGTGAAATCTTGAAACTAGCCTCAAACAAATGATTGTCTGTTTTGACCCAATTCAGAGGTCCCGCAGTGACAACAAATATTTCTGTGGAGGCGCTTTTTTTAAAAAAATAATCAGTATCAATTATTTAACATTGTATCTGTCTGTGATTACAAAAGCATTTGTATTAACAAGAGAACCAAAAAGCCACCGAGAAGCAGTAAGGAAGAAGACTATAGCCAATCTGAAAAATCTTTAAATATCTCCAAGAACCTGAAGAATCACTTTTATATGTAGACCTATGTCCAAGTTCTGGATGGCGTGTGTGCTCTGAAATACTCAGAAAGACTCTAAATAGTTTCCTCTTGTCCTCCATCAGACACTGAACGAGTAGGAAGCAGGGGTAAGCCAGATTTGTGGGCTTCTCAGCAGATACATAAAGGTTTGTCTTTGCATCTCTCAAAGCCCTGTTGGGAACACAAAGGTCCCTGTGCTCAGAGACAATCATGAAGGAATCAGGAATATTAAACATGTAGAATAGAATTGTCTCTTCAACAAGAGATTTGTATAACCTGTTTTTCCACAAATGAATAAGTCTGAAAAAGAAACTGAAAGGAAAAATAAGGCATCCCCATATAAACAAAAACACTAGTTTATTGTCAGTAGGTTTGCCCTCCAAGAACTACTAAATGGAGCCTTCAGACCAGGGTGACAAGACACTAGACAGGGATGCCAACCCACATGAGAAGTAAGAACGCCAGCAAAGGTAACATAAAAGGGCAGTCGCGATGCTCTATCTAAAAGGGGGGCAGCATCCAGCAAGAAGACCACACACGTGCTTGTTTGTCAAACAAGCCCCTCTCTTGTCAAGGCTAAGAGACCCTCGAGACCTGAACCTGTGGTTCTTACTATAGAAAGTGTCCTGTCAATACCACAGCAGCCACACTGAATGCGGCTCTGTGCCCACCCCACCCCCCCACACACCCCCGTACCTGTTCCAAAGCCACAACGGCTCTGCAGGAAGGAATGTGTGCATTCCACTTCTCCGCAAACTGCCTGCCTGACTGGCTCCAGGGCTGCAGCAATGTGTCATGACCTGCCCCGAGGGTACATGGGAGCCAGAACTGAACCATGTGGAGTCCTGTAGTCCCTGGCAGCTGCAGTCCTCCACACCGGCTGCCTGTGGGAGACATCCCAATGGCCAGCAGTAGCCCTGTGGGTCTACTTCACAGACTCCACTCCAGGCCAGGCCTTAAGAACCAAGCTGAAGTCACAGCTTACTCTCTCTCTCTTCAAATGTGGTTTCAGAGCTCCTTGACACTTCTCTGAACAAGATCGCGCTTCCCTAGTGCTTACCAGATGTCAGGCAGGGCTCAGTGTGACAACTGAATCTACCATCTTCGCCTCACTACAGAACGTAAACAGCGCTGTTGTCAGGCCCACTTTACAGATGTGGAAAGTGAGGGGTTGAGGCAGAACGACTTGGCCCCATAGTATCACATGGCCTGTGTTTAAGCTCGTGTTCCTGATCTTCCGGGCTATGTGCTTCTCCTCCACATTCCACCGGCTGTGGGGACCGCACAAAAGCACCTTACAGAGCAGCAGCCGGGAGCTGGGAAACAGTCCTGAGCCTTTCATCACACCGGGATGCCTCTGGGCTTCTCGCCAAGTTCACCTAAGTGGTCTGGTGGGCAGGTACTGCTGCGCGGTGAACTACATAGGGCACTATTTACTATTAAAAGAACACAGGATCACATTACACAGATCAGTCTGGTCAGCCAGCCAGAGGGAATCTTCTGGAAAAGCATGAAGCCAATGGGGGCTGCTTCGACCTACATATACAATCCCCACCCTCATCTCTCAGGAGCTCCCTGTATCTCGTCTCCATGGATCTCATTACCTGAGTACTTCTGGAGTCATCTCACCACCTCAGATTCCTCTTTCCACCCGAGGCTAAGCATTCATATCCTCCCTACCCTGTGCATTTCCAGGGCCGTGGTTTGGCTCAGGCTAACACATTCTGCTACCTGTAGCTGTCAGTGCTTCTCACATGGGCCATGAAGACTGAAGCTAGAATTCCATCTGTGAGGCTATCCTGACACTGCTATCTGAGCTGTCCTTTATTTAATAGGTATTTATTAAAGGCATAATGTGTCTCAAGCTCTCTGGGTAGGTAAGTGACCAGTATAACACCCTGCCTTTGTGAGGATTGAGAACAGGCGTGGAAAAAGAAGGCAATGAACAGGTAAGCAAATAAATAGACCATCTCATACAATGAGAGAAAATGAGGCAAGCTGGTGTACAACAGTAAACAGGATAGGGATACTTTAGTAGATAGGAGGAGAGGAATCTTGGGAGGTGGCATTCGAACTGAGACTCAGAGGTTGAGAAGGTACCAGTGCTGGGGTGGAGGGGGGGTGGTGATTCAAGCAAAGGACAAATATCCTCAGGCTAGCAAAGTTCAAAAACACAAAAGCCCTGCTTGATGGAGAAGACAGAGTTAGTTTGGAGGTAGAGTCACAGAGATGAGCAGGCACAGTGTCCATTCTCACCTGGCAGCAACAGGAAGCTTGGCCAGCTATGAGCTGCTAGCGGATAGAACAAGGGTAGCATGCTCGGAGCAAAAGTTGCCTGGAGCGTCTGTGCCCAGACCTGCAGCTGGGCCACTGAGGGAAGGAAGTTCAGCTTCGAGCATGTGTCAACTGACATCTCGCCTCACCTGGGCCTCACCAGTCACATGAGTGCCTCGTTTTCATCACTGACAAGGCCCACATCTGCCTCTGTCCCCAAGGAAGAACCCTGATCGTGTGTCCAGGACAGTGGCCGAGGGATGATCACTGGGTAGCTGCTTGTGACTGAGGCCACCTACCCCAGCAAATACTACGTGTGTTTGTTGTCAAGCTACCTGACAGGGGTTGCCAGGTGCTGTCTTCTGAAGAGGTAACAGTCTTTCCTGGCCATGTGTCTTTTGACTGAGTCATGGCCTTGAACAGTGAAACTGAGAACTCCCAGTTCTCTCTCCAGCTTCCATCAAGGAATCATGGGGGAACTCTAGCCTTGGCCCATGGCTTCTAGAGAGACATACACCCCTCTGAATGCCCTAGGAGGGAAGTTAGACCAGGTGTCTAAGGCCTGTTCTATCTCTGGGGTTCAGGATACTGATGCCAACAAAGGAATGGCATAAACAAGCAGTCAAAGGTGGCAGGGTGGACAGCGCACCCCGCCTGTCTCGTGGGGACAGATGGCCAGGCACGCCCCCTTTCCTCCAGTTGTTTTCTGCCACATCTTACTCCCTCTTCTCCTGACTTTCTCAGTGTCCATGCTGCCTCTCACCCCTCTGATGTGCCAGCCTTCAGGGTGTGCTCTCAGGCCCTCTATTACTTTCTTTCTTTCTTATTTTTTTCACATATTTCCTCTATTATCTTCTTATGACTGTCATAATAAATCACCACAAGCTTGGTGACTTAAAACAACAGAAATTCGTTTTCACATGGTTTCAGGGGCTGGAAGTCTGAAATCAGTTTCGCAGGGCTGAAATCAGAGCCAGGACAGGGCCACGCTCCCTCCTGAAGCTCTAAGGGGGCCTTTTCCATGGTCTTCCAGTTTCTGATAGCTGTCAGCATTCCCGGGTTTCTGGCCACATCCTTTCAGTGTCAGCTCTAGAGTTACACTGTCTTCTCTTCTACCTGCCCCATCTTATGAGTGCAGTGATGACTATGACTAAGATACACCTAGATAATCTAGAATATTCTCCCATCTCAGATCCTTTCATTCACTTGCATCTATAGTCTCTTCTGTCATATAAGGCAACAGTCAAAGATTTCCAAAATACAGGTATGGATCTCGCTATTTTTAGTTTGTGGAGGGGTGTTGCTCAGGCCTTCTCAGCCCTGCTTTCATCCTATACTCTTCCTCTGAAAAAAGAGATGCGACACGTCCTTTAGACATTGAATCCCCACTTTCTGACTTTGCGGCTATGTGACCTTGTGCTCTGGCACAAGCTTAACCTCTCCGAGCCTCAGTGTTGTTATCTGAAGACTTGGGTCAGCAGCTGCTGCATTGTATATCTGTGGCGGTTATACTGAAGCCCTCGGAACAGAAAAGGAGCCGAGCTCATCCTGACTACTATCTTTTTCCATCTCTGTGATGGCCATCCAGACAGAGATTTTAAGCATCAGAACTGTGAGCAGCTTCAAAGACAGGACTTTGGAGATACAGTGTTAATTGTTTCCATCTGCCTGCCAGGATTGAAGCGCTCTATAAACATCCCATTGCAACCTTAGTGAAATGCTTCAACAATCTCAAGGCCTCCAAAATAGACACCCCAGAAGGAACCAGGGAGGATCCCAAGGAATTGCAGCTTGCAGAACGATCTTGTCCATACTCTGTTCAGGAACGCTCCCCGCCCCCACCGCCTCCCTACTTGTGCCTTTGGAGAGTCACTGAAAAGCGTCCACACACAGTCAAATCAAGACCTGATTTGATCAGTTTACCACAAGACAAGTTGCATCCCCCCTCCCCAAAGGAAAAGAGTCTTCTGCTCCATTCGTGCCTAAACTCAAAAGACTAAAGACACCAGGGCTCTGTTCTTACAGAACTCTCTGCCGTGACTTCTTCATTACTGTGCTAAAACACAGGACAGAAATGGCTTACAGAGGTGCGATTTTCTTTGTCTTGGTTTCAAAGGCACTCTCCCTCATGGCAAGGATTGCCGCTCTTTCCATGATTGCTGTGGTGACTTAAATAGGAATGGCCCCCAGAGGCTACCATAGGCTCATATATTTGAATGCTTGGTCATTAAGGAGTGGTGCTACTTGAGAGGGATTGGTAGGTGTGGCCTTGTTGAAGGAAGTGTGTCATTGGGGGTGGAATTTGGGATTTCAGAAGTCCACATCAGGCTGTATTAATTAGGGTATGAAGAAACACCATGACCAAAGCAACTCTTATAAAGGAAAACACTTCATTGGGGCTGGCTTACAGTTCAGAGGTTTAGTTCATTATCAGCATGCGGGAAAGCATGGTAGCATGCAGGCAGACATGGTGCTGGAGGAACTGAGAGTTCTACATCAGAATTGGCCGGCAGTAGGAAAAGAGAGTGTCCCTGGGCCTGGCTTGGGCTTCTGAAACTCCAAAGCCCACTCCCAATGACACACTTCCTCCAACAAGGTCACACCTACTCCAACAAGGTCACACCTCCTAATAGTGCTACTCTGTGGTGACCAAACATCCAAATATATTAGCTTATGGGGACCATTTCTAGTCAAACCACCACACAGGCCCAGTGGCTTTCTCTCGTTACCTGTTGTCTACAGATCTGAATATAGAACTCTCAACTTCTCCAGCACCATGGCTGCCTACTTGCCACCATGCTTTCCACCAGGACAATAACAAACTAAACCTCTGAAACAGTAATCAAGCCCCAAGCAAATGCTTTCTTCTATAAGAGTTGCCGAGGTCATGGCATCTCTTCATAGCAATTGAACATTGACTAAGACAGTGGCCAAACAGGAAGCAGAGTGAAAGGTGGAACCATGGGCAGGCATGACCTTCAAAGGCCAACTGCTGGTACTTAGCGAGGCCCCACATCCTAAAAGTTCCATACCCTTCTGAGACAGTGCCACCAGCCAGTGACCTCAAAGATCTGGAACATTCCAGATCCATACCATAATAGGTATATAGTGCCTGAAATTGTGCCACTATGGCTTCTCCACATGTATCTTTTCTTCTCTGTCCTCCAAGCCGCAAGCCCCATGACCCATCCGCGTGGTGGAGACAGCACAGTTGTGACATGACTTGGAGCAAGGACACTCTTGAACCCATAGGTCCCCATCTACTAGGCCAAGACGGCAGTTCCTACCTTACAGGTTAAACCTGTCGAGTGGAGTGAGCTCAGGGGAGATGGCAGCTCGTGCTACCCAGATCCCCATCTCTCCTTGGTGCTCCAAAGTGGCTGCCTCTCATCTGTACATGATGCATTAGCCATTGGCATCCTTCTAGAGGAACAAGTTAGAGCCACTTGAGGTGGCTTGTCTCCTACCCCCAAGTCGTTGACATGCTATCTCTCATATGTTTTACAGTCTCATTCACTTAAGAAAAAGTTTCTGCCATGTAAATGCACTTATTTCCAAAAGAAACCGTTTGTTATTATAGTAATGGGAAACTTGTATCATTAGACATAACGAGAAGGAAATTATAACCATTCTTTTTAATGCAATAAATTCATGACAGGCAATATACTCCAGAGACTCTGAGCCTGGGGCCTGGTCTTTTCTTCTGAAAGGAACAATTAGTGTGAGAAATGGGGAAAGTGTGTGGTTCTAAACATACTGTCTTTCTGACATTATACGAAAGCTTTAAAGTCAAATGTCAAAAACGTAACTCAAGATTATTAACACAGCTTTCTGTTCCACCTGTGCACAAATGGTCCTGCCTGCCCTTCTAGAAGCACAGCTTCAGCCTTTCCGAAGTCTTGTGGGACTCGAGCTATGTCCTCAGCATAAGTGGCTGAAGCTTCAGCTGTCACATTTGATGGTAATGAATTGTGGGGAATATAGAACTTGACAGCTTTCAGAGTTTCCTTAAACTTTTGAAGTTTCCATGAAAATGCTTTAAACCCCAAACAAGACAAGAAATGGTCCCTTCTCTAGACAAAGAAAGTAGAATTTAACCACTGTAGAATTACAAAGGTCACATGACCATAAGAGGGAAGGAGGGACGTGTTAGCTAGGGAGGCTCGTTAGAGCTACCCCTATTTATGTTGCCATCATCTTATTTAGGTTGTGAGTTTTAAAAGTGCTTTTGTAAGCCAGGCAGTGGTGGCGCAAGCCTTTAATCCCAGCAGTTGGGAGGCAGAGGCAGGCAGATCTCTGTGAGTTTGAGGCCAACCTGGTCTACAAGAGCCAGGACAGGCTCTAAAGCTACAAAGAAACCCTGTCTCAAACAACAAAAATAAAAGTGCTTGGGTATTGAGCCTTTAAATTAAGCTTCAAAATACTATGCTCCACTAATCTAGCAATTTACATTTGAAAAGAATCACTGCATCTGGTATTTGATTAAAGATAAACTGGTTCTTGTCTGTTGTCTTGTTCTCTAAAGACTAAGGCCAATTCCACTTAAGAATTTCTAGAGAAACTTAAATACAGTGGGAAGGAGAAAAACAAGAACAATGAAGGGAACTGAAACCTCAGATGTTAGCTGGCCCTCGAGAAACAGAGTCAACAGGCAATGTGTATGTACGCGCATGCGTGTGCATGGGTCTCCATGTGTCTGCATGTGAAACCAATTTGCTATGAGAAATTGGTTCACGCAGTTGTAAGGTTGAGAAGTCACAAGATGTGCCATCTACAAACCACAAACCTGGTGTGGTAATCCAGTCCAATTACAAAGGCCTAGGAACCAAGAGAATGGTTATATAATTTCCAGAATGAAGCAGAAGGTGGCATCTTTCAGTTAAGCAGAAAGAAGCTAAATTCCTCCTTCCTCCTCCTGCTTTTCTTTCTACCTAGGTCCTCAACTGATAGGATGAGGCCCATCCACACTGGGAAGGGCTATCTGCTTCCCTGAGTCCTCTGACTCAAATGGAGACACCCTTACACACAGCCCAAATGATGTTTAAACATCAAAGGCCCAGCTTAGTTGACACATAAAGTTAACTGTTGTACCTATGTTGTGGAATATTAGTTTAAGATATGTTACATTTGTTTATGCTG